TATTTAATATAAAATTTGTTTACAGAATTAGGGATGGCTTGGCAAGAACGTAGCAGTGTGATTAATAAATTTAATAAATTATAAAGGATATAGCGCTGTGTTTAAATAAATTTAATAAATTGTGAAGGATATGTATAACAATATCNAATAAATAACTACAAAATTTCTAAATTCTCAAAATCACTATTTTCATTTAAATTAGAATCTCACGTTTTAACGTAAGATTCTAACCACATAATAAATAACCGCATAATAAATAACTGCAGAATAAATAACCACATAATAAATAACTACAAAATTTCTAAATTCTCAAAATCACTATTTTCGTTTAAATTAGAATCATACGTTTTAATTAGAGAATTCGGAAACCCCGATTTTTCGTAGGAATTAATAAAACTAGAAAAGAAAACCACAAAAATGTTTAACAAATTATTGGCGATCGTTGAACAACGCGCACTTTCAATTTGGTTCGCAGAAGGAGCAGAAAAAGCCGTACGAAATAGTCGAATTAAAGGTTCACACGAACAGTGGCAACAGCGAATACACCTGCATCTACCGGATACGGATACACGGTACCCTAAGTCAGAAGAACAGATAATTCCAGCTGTTCGACGATCAACGAAAACGAAAGCAGAAATCTCAGCACGATCTTTTCGAAGGACCGGTACCATGAGTTCTCCAAAATGGCGTCCACGTAGCATAATGTTTATAATATAATATCGATTTCGATAGGATTTTCGTGCGTATTTTATGTATACTTTATCGTGTAGTTAATAAAGACATGTACACCTGATATTTTGCGCACGAGTTTACGTGGTCACGGTAGATTTACTAGATTTTATTCGATAACATGCATTTGTTTACAGAATTAGGGGTGGCTTGGCAAGAATATAGCAGTGCGATTAATAAAGTTAATAAACTATGAAGAATATAATGCTGTGTTTAAATAGACTAAATAAATTGTAAAGTATATGAATAACAATATCTCTGAATAAATTTAATAAATTGTAAAGTATGTCTTTGATAAATTCAATAAAACATGATAAATGCAGCACTGTCTTTAAATAAATTTTATAAAGTATGCACCATATAACAGTGTGTTTAATAAATTGAATAAATTCCGAAGAATGTAGCGCTGTCTTTAATAAATTTAACAAATCAAAAATAAAATAATATATAATAATAAATAACAAATAATAAATAATAATAAAATAATATATAAAAAAAAAAATAAATCAAAAATATTGTCCTCGAACAAATTCTAAATTTTTCTGAATAAATTCTAAAGAACATAGCACCGTCTCTAACAAATTTAATGAATGCGAAAAAGACGCAGCACCATGTTCGAATAAATTTGTTTCGAGAAACAAATCACCGAATGAACTGAAAAACCCTGTCGCGCCGCTCTGTCCACTAAAAAAAGAGGGTCAAAAAAAGCTGTCCCCCGTGAATTTTCTATTTCTTTCTTTCCGACACGATAATTTCGAGCGATCGATCGCAATTCGCGTAACGCCGGAAAATTGTAGAAAATTTGTCCGGAGGGCTGCAATCGGAAACTTAAGCGTCCGACGTGAATAAGTAACGGCGGCCTAATGTGATTCGCGGATACAATGTAGAAGAAACGAGGCGGACAATTGGGATGAATGCGGCGCGGCTGAATAAAACATGACGACGGATACGCTTGGACGACACAGCCGGTGCTATCCTCGCAGACGTTGCTCGATTTCCAGTCCAAAATGAACGCGTTCCGAGAGAACTACAAGACCTATTATTCTCTCATGAACGCCGCCGGACTATGGCCCCACGATCGCACTGTCCTGGCGTGGATTCGCAGAGTTGCCTTCGGTCTGCTCGCGGCCTCCTTAGTGGTGAACCAGGTGGAGTAGAGCTCTTTGTTTTCCGCGAAATTTTCTGTTCGAAGATTTCCCATTGTTCGGGGGGAACTCGGCTAATCGGCGTAGGTGGACGGGTGGTCAAGATTTCGGGTTGAAATCGGGTATCTTCCTCGAGTTCGGGTCGGCACCCGAAATTTTTGGACACAGGGTATCCCAAAATTATGGTGCTTCCGGGCAGTGAAGGGTTCCCGAGGTGATACCGAGTAACTTTTCCCTTAGCGAAATTGCGATCCGCGGCTTCGTTTACGAGATATTACCGAAAAACAGCGGCCAATGAGAGACGAGTTCGACTGGCGCGAGACGGCATCGTTCCAGCGTTACTATGTATTCATATTAATGTACACCGGCATGCTGGCCGCTGCGTTTTATTGCCGACTGCCCTGAGTTTCTATAAAAATTTTTATAGCGGGGCTCGAAGAATCGCGACTTAGTATTCTGATATTCGCCGGTTTCGATTCCGACCTCCGAACATTTCTGGGAGAAATGACTGGATTTGTGTTAGGATCAAAAATTTTGTACCGACGTGTCTTACACAGCTTCCTGGCATTGTCGTCAAATCATTTTCATTTTGAGATAGAATAAATAATAGAATAATAATAGAATAGTAATAATAATAGTAATAATAATAGTAAATAGTAATAATTACTATTATTATTACTATTTACTATTATTATATTACTATTTATTATTATTGTTACTATTATTATTACTGTTATTATTACTATTTACCATTATTATTACTATTATTATTACTGTTATTATTACTATTTACTGTTATTATTACTATTTACTATTATTATTACTATTATTATTACTATTATTATTACTATTCTATCTCAAAATAGTAATAATAATAGAACAATAGAATAAATAAAAAGAACGTCGTCGTTTGAAACGATTCATTTATTGTTGAAAACGAATGGAATATATTTCAGATCATGACGTTAAGGAATCTGGAGCCGACACTGTACGACTTCACTGTGCTGATCTCATACTGCACCCCGATATTAATGTATAACATACGTTACGTCAGCTCCATCTTGACGTTTCCAACTGTAAGTTGAGGAAATTATTCTCGTCTAGGTAGTTCTACGTCGGCTATCTTATTAAAAATTTACTATGACAAAGTGGACGTGAAATTAGGGGGGGTTTAAGTCATCATTTCGCATATCTTCGTGAATAAATTAATTAATTTAATAATTAATGTTCCTTTTAATAATGTCTGTGAGTTGAAAAGAATGTAACAATATTATTCGATTCCTCTGATTTCTTCACAATTTTATGTTTCAACTGCTCCTTTTGCCCTGTAAATGCGTACAATCTGCAGTTTATCGATCATTGATTTGATTAAGAAACTGATTCTTCGTTAATTTTCGAAAAGTTGTTCCTGCGAATTTTTATTTCGAAAAATTGCTCATCCGATCCAGTCGATTTCTTTTTCATTTCAATGACAATAGTTTATACTGCCATAGGGGATTTTGTTTAATCGATTGTACGATGTTGAAAGTTATAAACAAATTCGAGATCAGCGGAACGACGACTTCGGTGCCCCCTAAATACGAGCCAAAATCGAACTTTTTAAGTTCGCGAATTATATCGGATCGCTTTTTCGCGTGGCTTCAGATCAAATATGTGCTAAACAGCTTGGAACATGATTACGTTACACTAAAGGATCCCATGGAGTTAAAGATACTAATGAGGCACTCGCTACTGGCGAAACGCATCGTCCAGATGTATATCGGTAAGAATTTTACGAATTTTTCAATTCCATGCGCACGTTCTGCGAAACAAATATGACTCAATCGCTTGATGTATTCTAACATTCGATAATTAACACTATTTTGATCAAAGCGGACGAATGACTCCTTTTAAAATTTTAATTTAACTTTCAACTAAATTAAAGATTTAATTTAATTTAATTTAATTTAATTCAAAGTTAAATTAAATTTTATTTTATTTAATTTTTTTTTTTAAATCAAAGTTAAATTAAATTTTATTTTATTTAATTTAAATCAAAGTTAAATTAAATTTTATTTAATTTAATTTAAATCAAAGTTAAATTTAATATAATTTAATTTAATTTATTTCAAAGTTAAAAATTTAATATAATTTAATTTAATTTATTTCAAAGTTAAATTTAATATAATTTAATTTAATTTATTTCAAAGTTAAAAATTTAATATAATTTAATTTAATTTATTTCAAAGTTAAATTTAATATAATTTAATTTAATTTATTTCAAAGTTAAAAATTTAATATAATTTAATTTAATTTATTTCAAAGTTAAATTTAATATAATTTAATTTAATTTATTTCAAAGTTAAATTTAATTTAATAGAGATAATAAAAATTGAGATCTTTTTGTACTTAGTATTTTTGGAGTGACCTCAGCATACTAGTCATTTATTAAATTTAAATTTAATCAAATTTAACTTTGAGAGATAAAAATTAAAGTAAATTAAATTCAACTTTGAATTAATCTTACCTTAGATAAACGACCCATTGTATTATATTCTTAGCTGGTACATGCAATAATAAAAACATGGAAAATTAAACTTTGACTACGAAATAAAATGCATATGCAAAAATGGGGTCAGTCGAGACCCTGGTACACCAGTTAAGGATTTAAATTATTTTCTAAGTCGAATCACTTTTCCTCGATTGCTTTCCTCAACTTTTCTTATAATTTCGCGGTGTTGAGTTCAAACTCTGTAAAATAAATTGTAAGTTCTTCACACAATTCTGGTTGCAGCTTTGACCTGTTCAGGATTGCTGTTTATAATCGCGACGTTAGGAGTGCCGACGATACAACGTTCGGACCGTCAGCTTCGTTCCTTGTACGTGACAGGATACTTTTTCAACGAGAGAAGCATACACAGCAATCTCACATGTTTGCACATCATTCTGGGATCGATACACGGCCTGACGTCGTTCATATGCACCGAGGGCACCCTGACCGTCTTCTCCACTTATGTCAGCGGACTGCTGGATGTCGCCAGGTACATACATACATATATTATATTATATATATAGGCAACGAATAGAATCGTCAACCGGTTAGCCGTTTTGGATGAGTATACTCGTNAGTATATTATATATTGATATTATATTATATTATATTATATTATATTATACTATACTATATTATATTATATTATATTATATTATATTATATTATATTATATTATATTATATTATATTATATTATATTATACTATACTATACTATACTATATTATACTATACTATACTATACTATACTATACTATACTATACTATACTATACTATACTATACTATACTATA